GCGAGGGGTACCCCTGCGGTGTGTGTCACCCGAAAGCTCTGCCCGGGCGTCATCCCAAGTTGCTGAAAGATCTTAAACTTAAAGAAAAACACAATTCCCTCTTCCATGGCCGTGCTTCGCAGGTTGCAAAAACGTCAGAGTCTGTCGGCGCTGTTAAGGCTCTGCGCTGGGGATACATCCTTGGGAAAATAAAACCTCTTTAATAGCAGCTCAGGTGGGGCAAGCCCTGATTAGGGAGCAAAAATATCATTAGTCATTTCTGAAAGCGCTCACGGAGGCTTTTTGTCTTCTTTGGCTTTACTTTTATTCAAAATATTTTGCTTTTCATTTGGTGCCTGGGTTATTTTTATTTGGCGAGCGGTCTCGCTTATTTTATTTGAATATCCTTTGTGGCGGGCAATCTCTAAGCAGAGGGTGACTTGTCATGGAGCAGAACTGAACATGAAATAGGGAAGTTTTATTTTCTCTCCCTCTGGTCACTGTTCCCCCTCATGAAAATAGGACCCACACGGATTTTAGAATGAAGACTATAACCAGAGACAGTAAGGGCATCAACACTGAGCAGGATTCATCACTACCCATGATGACCCTTTGATGAAGTTTTAATCCAGCGAACACAAGCTGAATCCAGAAATGTTCTCTGGTGCGCCAGCACCGGAGCAGGATCAGGCCTTCGAAATGACCCAAGCTTTGGGGGAAGCGATGAACGCAGCCCTGGAGGCATCGCTTCCTCGTGCCCTCCCTCCATTTCAGCATCTGCCGGGGGAGCCGGCTTTGGGAGTGCTGCCGCATTGCCGCTGCTCTTACGCACTTGTCCCACCTTATTTTATGTTATTTTGTTAAGGCCGTGTTGGTATTGGCGGACAACTTGAGTGACTTTGAGGAAAGATTTTTTTCTCTTTCCTCCTTTCTTGAATGGCTCCTTTGAAAGGCAGCGCCTCTCTGTTTACATCCCCACTGTCCGGATTGAATCAATCTTGTGGTCAGCTTCTGGAGGGGGGAAAAAAAAGAAGAAAAAAGCCTTACAAAGAGGGAAAATTGACGGGTCTGGCCATCGGCGTGATTGATAGCGGTTGGAGAAGTGGGTGCGACGTCAGGCTGCACTGGGGCGATGCCGGCGCTCGCTGGGGAAATCCAGCAAAGCCTTTTTTCCCAGAACCCGGAGCAGACGGGCTTGGTGAGGGGTGGCCATATGAACTTAATAACAGCAACATTGTTGGAACATAAAGCATCTGTCAGGAGTTAATATGATTAATTAGAGGCGTCTCTCTCTCTCCCTCTTTCCCCTCTCCCTCTCCAGGGAGGCAGGAGGGACCTGAAACCCAAACCCGGGGAGGGCGGAGGTGGGTCTGTGCCGCGGCGCTGGCTGGAGCAGGCACCCAGCCCCAGCCCCAGGAAAGCTGGTTCCTCCCCACCAGCCCCAGCTCCGCCGCAAGCAACCGCCATGCAACCTGCTATTGGCCAATGATAACGCCTTCAGCCAGAGGTACGTGGAGGAAAACACAAAAATGTCAAACATCCAGAGTCATAAACATGCCGGTGGCACACCACGCCAGTCAGAGGGATGGGTTACCGGGCTCTCAATAGGGAATTTGTTCCAGATAAGCCTTGATTTTAGCAGCGCAGTGATGACATCACCCCAGCGCACTAAACACTCATTCCTCCGCTTTTTGGTACCCGACCCGGCAGATGGGTTCAGCGTGTGCAGTGCGACACGCGGCTGCCTTGCACTGCAGGTGGATCATCCTTCCAGCTCCTCGCCTTCCTTTCCTAAAGACGCCACATTGCTTTTTTCCAGGCCAAAGGTTTTCAGTACTCACCCCACCCCGGCCCCCACGACTTTCCCCCATGACCCCACAGCACATCTCTCCCCGAGCCCCTGTTCTCCCACCAGCTCCCAGCCCAGGAGAGCCAGGGGAGCAGCTCCCCGCCCCACCAGGACCCCGCAGCCGCCGCACGCCGGACGTCACACCAGGCTGGGCGAGACGGGGTAAAGCTCCACGTTTTACCCATGTGCCTCGGCTCCTCATGGAAAGAGCCCGGCTGATCTCGGTGGGACGGTGGTTTTCAGCCCCCCCCCCCCGCCTGGGGCCCCCCCAGCTGTGGAGCCCCAGGGGTTTGTGAATGTAATTCAAAGACGTCTGGAAAAGGTAACTAGAAATAGGAAGTTAATTGTCAGGAAGCTTAATTAGTTATACAGCGGCCTGCACTGTCACTGGCAAAATTTTAAGACTCTGCAAACCAAAGAAAGTAGAAAACCCCTGAAAGTAGGTGCGTAAGGGAGTTGCCACTTTTTGTGGGACCCGGCTTAAGACTGGTCCCATTCGCTGTGTTGCAGGTGCACTGGACTCGCACCCAATGGCTGCGTATCTATTGATGGTGTGAAATGATCAGTGACTGTTTGGTCACTACCCCAAGAACAGAAGATGCTCTGTGATAGCCAACCGCTGCTGCTGCTGCTGTTAAAATAATTTAAATGCTGGTGACTGCAACACATGCAAAATAAAAAAGTATGTATGCGACCTGTGCTGGCCCTTCGAGTTTAGGTGACACTGCTGTCCTGCCAGCAACCCCAGTGCTGCCCCAGTTTGCACACGGGTTGTCCTGGGGCCAGCAGAGACATCGAGCTGCCTCTGCAGGGACACGGGGGCCTCGCTCTGCCCCACATGGGTGAGCACCCCCAGGCAGGGTGCCAGCAGCCCTCACCTTGTGTGGCACTGGGGTGGGATGGGGTGCAGGGTGCAGGGGTTGGACTGGGTGCAGGGGTCAGGCTGGGCGCAGGGCACAGGGGCTGGGGGCAGGTTTGGGTGCAGGGCACACAGACTGGGTGCAGGAGCCATTGCAGCAGCAGTGCTGAGCTGTGCTGTGCAAAGCTGTGCCAGGCTGATCTTATCAAAGCCATGCCATGGCGGCCAAGCCATGCCATGCCAGCAGTGCCATGCCATGCCATGATAAGCCACGCCGGGCGTGCCATGCCAGCTGAGCCATGCTGTGCCATTCTAAGCTGCGCCAGCAGTGCCATGCCAGCCGAACTGTGCCATGCCGTGCCAAGCTGTGCCAGCAGTGCCATGCTGTGCTAGCCAAGCCGTGGCATGCCATGCCAAGGTGTGCTAGCAGCACTATGCCATGCCACGCCATCCAAGCTGTGCCACACCATGCCATGCCAGCTGAGCTGTGCCATCGTGCCATGCCAAGTCATGACACCTATGCCGTGCTCTGCCAGCTGAGCCGTGCCATGCCACGCCATGCCAGCTGAGCCGTGCTATGCTGTGCCATGCCAAGTCATGGCAGCTATGCCGTGCTCTGCCAGCCATGCCGCGCCATGCCAGCCGAGCTGTGCCATGCCATGCCAAGCTGTGCCAGCCATGCCGCGCCACGCCGTGCCATGCC